GACCACATCGTTCAGAATCGCTCGGAACGGAACAAACGAAAACGTATTGACAAACAGCTCTCCTGACAAACTCCGTCGGCGTGCCTCTGGCGAAGAATGAGCGGACTGACAGAAGAGTTCTAGCGCGAAGATTACCTATCGATGGGTTCGGTATCGGGAACTGTACCGTCAACGTTTACGTTTTTGATCGACGTTCGCAAGTCAATTCCTTGGATTTATGATTCCCGAACCCGACAGTTGGAAAGGCGAGCGGTTGGAGAGACGAACCGATTTCCATCGACACGCAGATTTCAGGTAACGCGTGCGAACGACTCCGCATCGGGTACGGTGATTTACATGAGGGGAACAATGTCTATGAAACTTGACACCAAAACACTACCTAACTGCCAGCCGCCTGCTTGTCTGCGGCCTTTGAACTAGCAATGTCAACCTTCGACATGCGCTCAGTTCCAGCAAACGACGACGGCTCCATCGCCGCCTCCGAGTTCCCCGCCGGACGATCCGACTGAGATAGAGAAGAGGCGCGGATATGCTGCCGAGGTGCAGATCTCGAGCCAAGGATCCTGTCCCGGAAAGAACCTCGAACCTGAGGATCGAGCGCAGAGCCAAAGCGATTAATGGTGTCCGAGGACAACCCGTCTGATACGAAATTTTCCGAAACAAGGGCAAGGACCGCAAAATATTTGATACGTGGCCGAGGAGGAAAATCAAGGCCATGTGCAAGTGCGAGACGCCAATGACGTATCGATGTAGCGAAGAGACTGCGACCCACTGGCAGATGAGCGAGCGAGCAAGCAAGTAGACAGGCGAACTGGCGAGAAACCTTCACTCAAGAGTTCGTAGCAGCTACGTCAAGAGGCGCTGGTGAAAACTTGGCCTCTTCACTCAAGCCGAAGACAAATACGGGGCAAAACAAGCAATCGTTTCCTTCCTTTCTCGGATTCTTCTTCGCTTCCATCGCCTCGCATTCGTGCTCTTCCCAATGTTTTTCTTCTCGAGGTGGAAACTTCCTCTATCGACTGAACTGATTCCTTCTGTCGTCAAGAGCACTCCGGAGGCATGCAAGGATCGACCTCGGCTTCTGCTGTATCTCATTTTCATGAGTCGGGAAATTACCTAATCGCAGCAATCCCTCGATTCGCTACCTCAGCCCGCCGGCTCGAGCAGGAGTTGCTACACGAGATATCCGCAGGTGGTGGACGAAACGTGGACACGGAAGGCAGTTGCAGCAGATGTTTCCACATCAGCCGAGCTGCGAGCTGACGCCAGAGTAACCGTACGAGTGCATTCAATCAGCTCTGAGTTGAAAAAGCCACCCGCCGAAACAATCACAGTTGTACACCTACGTACAGGGCTCATTCAGACCAGTAGCCGAGCTATTTAGTTTTGTAGTCTGTTGTCCATCTGGGTGGCCTAATTTCCACCAATTAACTCCGAGATAGCTAAGCGCGATTTGAGAATCATTGATACCCGACGGCTGCTCCCAATTGTCGGACTGTTGCTAAATTACTCGCGTCATTACGATTGCTCTCGCCTTCGAGAGCCTTCCCGATGCATACCGCTAGGAGTAGGGGCGGCAAGTGCTGCGGTTGCGGAGCTGGCTGCCAGGGCGAGAGCTCCCTCGGGAATTACCGCAGCTCGTAGACTTCGGAGCATAATGGTCACGGTGGCGACAGATCAATATATGCGGAATCGCAGACGGAGCGGACCGCGAATGCCCGTGTCACGTTTCGGTCGAGCCGGAGTCACCCACACGTATTCAAGGAAAGAGACATCCCATTTCTTTTAAGAACAAACACATGGTGACTGGCTGACCAGCGGTAGGCACCCGAACCTGAGCTGACTGATGTCGCTGGCCTAATGACAGAGTCCTCCACCGACTTCCTTCGCCAGCTTTCGATCCGCTTGTACACATACATACATAGCGACACTTCCGTTTCGTTAGCACCTCCTCCGAGTGAGAACAGGTCCGACATCGGAAACTTTGTTCAATCCAACAGACGAATCTCTGTATGAATCAAAACCGTCCACAGAAAGCGCCGTCGACGAAGTCGCGTGTTTCCGACGAGCTCTGTCTTATGTCAACCGACCGAAGCTGACTCATGAATGAAAACGAATTTCGACGCCGCGAAGTCCCTTCACTCGTGGCGGGAGACGCTGCATCGCCGTGGAACTGGGCCTCGGATCCTCGGATGAAGATTTCATCACGAAAACAAGGCTGACATTCAAATCCGGGCTAGGCTTCGGCAGCTCCACTGTCGAGTCCGCACGTGAAGCCCCACATTCATTCAATCATCGCCCGAAAATTCGAAGGCGAGCGCAGCTGCTGTCCCCGACGAGGGTGAAGTGTCCGTCGCGGAACATGTCATATGTTTCGGTAATGCAACGGCAGCGAACAATCATAATCATAATGGTTGATTGAAAAACAATTTCCCAATGCCATGTGACGCCCTTATCGTGGAGAGTGGGATGTAAAACCGAAGAATTATTTGAATAAATTCATGGCATACGAAAGGAAAGCTATGATGGAGAGAAGACTCCCAAGGCGACATGATTATAAATAAACAGTTCGGGAAAATGAAAGTAGATAAGCTGAACAGTGGCCGTCTTATAATGTGATACCAATCGACCTCTTCCGTGCCCGAGGGGAGAGAGCTCGCCTCTCCGCGCTTTCCGACTACTATATTCTGAACGCGGAAATCGTTGAGTTTACGGTTTCGACAGCAACCGGTTACGGGAGTCCATGGCTCATCATTCGAACTTCCGAATGCTATGAATTCCTTACGATCGCTGCTCGAAGCATGTCGGTAGTCGGTGCTGATTATCAGGACACGACGAAACGATATCGAGTGGAGGTGGTGACGCGATTTGAATCCCATGAAGAGAAGATATTCGCCTAGAAGCTGAATTCGCTTCCTCCGTCTCAAACTTCAGAATCCAAGATTATTTACCGAGTTATCCGGCTAATATCCGCAAGGATTCCCCGAGAGGGGTTTCAGTTGAAAGGAAAGCAGGCGGCTTCTCCCACAAACTCGAATACGACTGACCCGGTGTCGATGCAAGGTCTTTACGGAGGCTCCTAATTCTGAGTGAGACTCACTCTCTCAGCGAGCCCGGAGCGGTCGTCGTGAGAACCATAGGCTGAATGCTGGGCGACAAGATTTTCCAAGAAAACGCGACCGAACCGAGACGATACTGTAGAAAAAGAAACCAGCAACCAGTCGACCGAGCAGTCATCCCGTATCATTGACTCGTCTCGCAGACCTTCGTCGAGCTTCGACCGAGCTTCCGTTTTTTTCAACTCGCGAAGAAGCTCGAAAAACTGGCGGAGATCGCCTATGTGGGCCGTTGTTCGGAGGAGTGCTCGGAGTCCGCTGTTGACGCTATCGTTTTCGTCGATATCACCTCTGAAAAGACATGCGTCATTCGCTCCATGATGGCTACAACAAAGCAATCAATCAATCGGAAGAGATGTGTCGCGTCTCGTCATGAAGACGCCCATGTCGGTTTCAGACGGACGTTCCGGGTGCCGTAGCATTTGAAGCTCGCTATCTCACAGCTTAGTGATAAGCCGCAAATGTGCGGGGTCCGCTGCAGGAAATGTGAGTTTTGCTCCGAAAATTTCTCAGTATCAGTTTGAGGTAAACCTAATCCTTCCGCGGTTGAGGCTCGTCGGTCCGGTAGGGTGAGAGCATCCCGAGGTGCAAATATTTTCAAGGAAATCCGACAACCCTTCGGTTCCTCGATCGGTGGCTGAATCGATCGTCGGGTAGCACTATGCCTCAAATCATTTGCGGTCGCTTCTTCTATGCACTCGGTCTGAGCAAAACTCAAATATACAGCAGGAAGCTGCTCGAATCGCTTAGTGACTGCCTCACTCGTCAACTTTTAAAACCAAAGAGGTGAGCCTGGTGGTTTGGCTGACCGAGCAGAGTCCTCACTCAGAGGAATTGCTTGTGACTGTATTGAGTGGACTCTTTATTGATTGATCAACAACTGAACGCTGAGTTCTTCGTGAAGAATCTCCATTGACCTCTAAATCTCTGCTGGCTCGGAGCGGACAAAAGGATTCCCGAATACGTAAATTCGAAGCGGACGGCTCAGTAATGACGACAGATCCGTGATGAAGTTTTCGCAGCGTAAACTTCGACGGGGAATCGAGGAGTGCGTGCGTCGACGGATTCCCGGCCATCTCCCGAAACGCAGTGATTTTCTCCGTTGGCAGCACAGAGAATAACTATGCACTGACATGTAGAAAGCGGGACAGAGCGCTGCATCGAACGCGTCGGCGTCTACCGAAAGAGTTCGGATTTCGACTGTTGTTGGCGCGTTTAGCACAATTTCTCGAGACGAGTAAAGTCGACGAACTTCATGCTAGCACCAATGGCGACACTCGTCTCGCTGCTCCGAAGTTTCCGCTCAGAGTTTCCGCCTTAGCTTCTCTTTTCCTCGAGCGAGGTGTCTCGCGCTATTAGTCGAACAAACACGGTTCGAACTGATTGCTCCATGAATTCGAGAAAGAATCGATCATGGAATTATACTCCGATGTGAATCGACGGGAAACCATCGGACTTGGCGAAACCACGAAGTACCCTGCTAGCTCTAAAATGTTATGAGAAGACGTAAGGGGGGATCATCAGAACTCACAGTAGCACCTCCGGATGTTTTCAGCACCGCGCGGCACCGCGATGGAGTCAGAAGTTTCCTCCGATTTGGTTCTGTGCAGTTCGAATAAGTTAAGTAATTGACTCGCTCACACACGCTCGAGAGATCGATTGAGACCGGATTTCAATTCTAGATTACGCGACTAAACGCTCGACAAAACCAACTAAGCAGAAGGAAAATCACGTGCCGATCTCGCCGGGTTCGAGGTTACATTCACTCACTGGCTCAGAGAAGAGGAAGAAGTCAACTCTCGAGCACGAAACCGTTGGCGTATCCGTTGGTCGTCTTCCCGCCGCCAAAGTTGAAATTTCGAAAACACTACAAGATATGTTTACCTGATGATTAACATGGGGATGGTCATCGGAGAACTTCGGGCCACATCGCCCCACCACTTGTTCCTGTAGTTATTCGGTTAGTTATTTATGTCGCCACAGTCACACTGAAATTCGATGAGCAAAACAAATTTTCCCGATGAACGTGCAGCGGAACGGATCCGGTGTATATCGGCCGGTGAAGAGGACAGGCACAAAACTCAAGACACAGTGGTTTCCGAGCGGCCACTTCTACCGCGACCCGTGCGGTTTGCTTTCACTGGCAAGAGTGTCTTGAAGCTCGCGCCAAGTGAGGGCTCTCGCGAGGGTGAGGGACATTCGAGCTACCAATCACACCTCACCGAGCGACGTCACAGTTTTGAAAGTCTGGCGCCAACGGATCTCACAACGATCCACTCCTGCTAGTTGAGCTAGCTTAGTATCGATTCGACGGCTCGTCTGGCGGATGTAACCCCCAAGGAAGAATGACGTTGAAGATATTAAATATTCAGGCGTGCACAATTGACAATAGAACGACGGTAGATGCCGCACCCGAAAAAAATATCCGCGAGCGCCGGATGAGTTCGAATCACCCATCTACACGAATTAAGGTTTATAGGATGATCCTCCGACAATTATTGTCGCCTTGTTAGGATAAAAAATGTAGAATGAAATTATTCACCCTGATTGTCTTTTCCGTCAGTGACGTTTCTAGCTCGCTCCTTTGGATCTCCATTCCCGAACGAATTTCTCAAGACGTCGGCGTCGCCTCGCTGTGGTGCGGAACTAAATCGAGTACCTCCCCCCGCACCTCGTCCATTCGTATTTTATTTCAGCTTCCTTTAGACCAGTTTCTGACCTTTCTGGCAGTGGTCGACGGAGGGGCATTCCGCGATCACGACCTCCCGACGTCCGCAGCTCTCAGACAGACAAACCGACAGGCGTACCGACAGCAACCAATGAGCCAATGACGCTCCGTCGAGGATTCGACGGTCGTTGATAAGTTACAAATATTTATTATTTGCTGAATTCTCGCTCGTTCGCTAACCGTCGGAGGAACTCTCACCGTGCGTTTAGACGTGGTTTGTGTTCCCTCGGCACCCCTTCAAAAAACATACAGGAACCTGCGGTCACGACGAAGCTCATCGCGACCGAGAACACTACTGATACGAAGAGTTGTTCTCAATCAGAACGCTGTGACGCCGGGAGCATCACTTCGCATGCCGTTCTCGACAATGTGATTCTGACTCAGAATACCTTCAGCGGTTGTGGTTTGTCAGAGGTGCCCGATTGTCTTCAAGGCAGCTGACAGGCTTCTTTCAAGCCACCCAAGTCGCGTACTCGAGTAACCGGATGTTACCATACGTCAGGTGGCTCCTAATCTGACCGATTCATCTGAGGCAAGCCACCGAATTTGCCATCGAGTAGAGACTTGCTGTTTACGTCTCGAGAAGAAGGGCTGGTCTCTTTGTCCTTATCGGTTATCGGTTCGATTTCAAATGTGCCAACATTCGGGCTTTCGGCTCCATAGGTTGATCGTCGGAGCGTGCGCGATGACGAAGAAACCCCGCTTCAGATGCGATGAATTCCATGATCTGGGTTATCTTCGATCCAGCGATTCGATCAATTAGGGAATCATCGAATAAATTAGCGGTGCAGATTCAAGGAATTCCAGAGGCTCGGCTTTGTCGATTGAAAAAGGGCCTTCTGTACAGCGATTTCGGAGCGAGAAGGCAATACACTGATTCGGAATCGCCACGGACTCCGCAACTTAGCTCCCCCTTACGCCACGCCGCCGGCATGATGCCGGGGTCATTTGAGGGACTGCGTCTCGCCCCCCCCTTCAAGCAACAAGTGGACTCCGTCCGGTTCATTAAGGACCAACTAGGATCTCCTTGCGCTCAATGAAACATCATCGGCGTGAATCTTGCGTAGGGAATATTGATTCAAGGATCTCACCGTAGAATCCCAGCGCGACGTAAACGCTATGACGGCACTGCCGCTGGCCGTCACAGACACTTCTCGAGTTTCGCAAGCGATGGCCTGAAGAAAAACGAGACTGCGATTCCGGATTCGCTCATGTTTTCCGACGAAATCAGACTCGCCTAGGCAGACGATTTGAGCTGTAACCTTCCCCGACTCACCATCACCGCTCCATCCATGCATTATTCCGAGAACCCCGACCCTAACTCCGGCTCTCTCCCGGCAAACGAGTCTTTCGCAGGCGAAGTTTTCCTCGTTTTTGTAATTTCCCGGGACAGTCATTCACATCAATGTCCCTCAGCTGCCATGGATTGAGTAGCCATTCACGAAAGCAGCACCGGTGTTCTTCTGCCGATAAGCGCAGATTCGTCCACGTAGCTCAGTCAGGTGGATTTTTGATTTCGGAATGCGCTACGAGAAATCACCTATGCAAAGCTTGCGATCTGTCTTGCTAGTCGAAGATTCGAATGCAAGCGACACTGGTTCCCGAATGGTGCAGAAGGCACCGTTCTCGGCCGGGAATCGTAAGTCACGACGACGCTCATTGAATGTTGACATAAATCGAGGAGTCAACATTGCCGCTGATTCCTCCCAGACCCTTCCTCCGAGAGTCCGGCTGTCTCGAGGAGTTTAGAGCTACTCAAGAAGCTCAACCCCACCCCGATTCAGATTCGAAAGGAGGACTTGAGCTCTTTTGGTTCAGGAGTACCGCAGCACCGGGTCCCTGAGCCAAGCTTTAGAAAAGCTCAGAGAGAGCGCGCGGGCTCTCGCGGACGCTGCTCCACGATGGTATGCCATTCTGCGGATGTCTGTCTGTCTCCGAACCGAGCAGCCATCAACCCAAACACAAACGTCGCTCGTGGGGATCGTCAGCGATAAAGCGTTCTTTAATTAGTTGTTCGACTTTATCATGGAGAAACTCGATATAACTTAAGTGCTAGCTGAAGTGCCGATAGTCCCGAGTGATTATCTTTTATGTCGCTCGCGGTGCGGTGTCACGGCAGCAGATATGTAGATAACATCATTGGAATGTATGGCAGTCAGGCGCTTTGCTCGCGGACCCTTGTCATTAGATGTCATTTCAGTTTTACAAGAAGTACTTTTCCTCAGCGTCCGAGACCGAAAGGAAGAAAAAATATAAATACAACTGCGTTTCCTTCCCACGTCGGGTAGCCGTCAATTCGAGCATTCTCCTCGCGTAGCCTTATCGTCGGACGACCGCAAAGGAACAATATCTCAGGAATTTCGATTCTTACCGAGGAAATCGTCCCACTTTGACAGGCGACCAGTCAAGCGAGAGATCTCCGTCGTCGTCGACAACGGGAGCAACAGTACAAGGAGAAGTCGGGGATCTTTTCCCCTGACCCGGTTGCGCGACCACATTCGATTCGATTACTTTTCGGAGGCAGCACCAGCTGACACTGAAAACGCGAAGGGAATTTTCTGAGAGACCGAGCTGATATACCGCAGGGTGTTTGATTCTACCGAACGGGGCTCCGAAAGCAATCGCGCGTTATTGATTCGCGAGAGGGGTCCGGAAGGAAGGTGCCGTTCGAAAGACGAGGAGTCGATATGACTTATTGTCAGTTTGGGAAGGAAAGCTGCGTTTTCCCTCGTGGTCGTGACATCTCGATGCTGAGCGGGAACTGTCTCAGAACCCTTCCGATACGCGGTTACAGCTCGGGGTCGAATATCCCGTTTCGTCATCTTCGGATTCCGAGCGTCGCGCGACTTGTTCCGAGTGTGATTCAGAATGATCGCGATGTGTACAGCTCGATGCATATCCGACAAGGAGCACTCTTCTCAGAATTCTAGGCTCATCGTCCGGGATCGGTTCATCGGCTGCTAGGTGACTCAAAGTGACCGAACTTCCGGTCGCGGAGAAGACCTTGCTTGCCATGCAAATCAGTGACTTTTTGGCATTGAACTCTGCGGAAAGTCTTCATCCCTGACCTTGGTTATGCCGTGATATTCATTATAGGAAACCGTTTCATATTGAATGGATGAACGCATGCTCCTCACACAAGGAGGGACTTTTTCGGAGCTCTTTATTTCGAAGATCGATCCTTCTACAAAAGCGGTTATTTCTCAACCCTTCCACCCGCTGACCGACCGAATTCTGATGTTTACGTCGCTGATGCAATCTTCCGTCGGAATCAGCATCTCACAGAGCAGGGGCTCCCGACAACGAGCACGATAGGGGCACCAGGACGTCGCCCAGCCTTTAGAAGAATCACCTGCCTGCGGATATCCGGACGAGCGAGCACAAGGAGGGATGATACAGAGTATCCCCTTGCGTCGTCCTATTCTGGAATTTCAGTGCGTTCCCCTGCAGAGCTGGGCTCGGGCATCGGACGGGACACTCGACATCTCCCCTTCCCGAGCAACGGAAGACTCCGACAAAACCAGACAGAAGATTCGGAAGATCTAAATTTCATTCCTCGACACCTGAACGTACGGTGAGACGCTACGTCGGAAAGGCCTGTGTGGTTTCCGAAGCCTACTCCATAAGCCTCCCCACCGCGCAGTGTCGGGAACGATTGAAGCCGCCGATCTGTCCCCGGAATCCGCGCGCTGATAGAGTCGATTTCGCTCGTTTCCTCTCGGCCAAGAAGAAAAAGCGATAACAATCGGTTCTAGCACTTCTGGTCGCACATTCGATCACCGCTTTGATCCGAGCAGTTTTCGGCACAGAACGACGACTCGTCAAAACGATGCACGGTGACGGAGACCGCTTTCGCAACAGATGATTGTTTGAGAGGCTTCCGAATAGAGTCAGAAGTTCCGAATACGAAGCGGGTTTCTATCGTGGATCTCCGATTCCACAGCGGTGTCCCTTCATCTGACTCGCCGAATTAAGTGCTCGAAAATATCAGGCAGGCACTTAAGAGCATCGAAGATGTTCTGTAACTTTCTGCTAGGGAGATCGAGATCACTTCCGCGTGGGTTCGCTGCGACGCCGGACTGCAATTTGTGCTGATAAGTGCTGCCTCGATAATGTCACGAATTGACGGTTTTTCTGCGGGAATCGCTGCCACTGCACTTCGGCGACCGGAACGCTTACGCAACCGACCACGGCGGATTCGCACTTTTCTATTATACACTTGATGATTCAGAAGATAGATCCGCTCGATGAGCGACGGGAAATCATTTGCGAACCAGCGCGTCCTGAGTCGGGAATGTTTTTCCGTACTCCCCGGAGTTCGAACAACAGGACAGCGACTCCTCCCGAATTCAACCCTTAAGCGGGACACGCGAATATTCCTGTCTCATTGATTGAAGTCGATGATGAGCTCA